TAGAATTAAGAGAAACCTCATGACCTGGCTCTACGCGGCCACTACTCTCCCCCCTCGGCCACCCTTGGCATCACAACATGGTCACCTTCCCACAGCAGCACCACTGGTGAAGCGTGTCATACTTGCCAGTGAGCTTCCTTCCCCCAAGCGGTGAGAAACCCAGGTTTAGATGAAGATCCTTTGGGAGGTAGGGCTCAGTATGCACAACTCCTTTCAATGACTGACTTGGGGACCTGTCCATAGGCACAACACAAATGGCATCTTTATTAATAGTTTCATAATAGCCACTGGTAGCATTATTAAATAAAGCTTTGTTAATGAGCATTAAATCTATGCCTCCCCTGGGCCTCCCCTGGTGGTGCAGTGCTTGAGCGCTGGGCTGCAAAGATGCTCGCAGCCTCTGCAGTGCTGGTTCGATCTCCAGCCGCCAGCGAGGGTCCCACATGGTGCACAGACCTCTTCTGCCAAGCCTGCTGCTCCCCTCAGCAGTGTATTTCATCACTCTGCCTGTCCTGTTCCCCGTTCTGGCTCTGGTGAATTCTCTCGCCCTTCCATGCTTCTGACTGTACCCAGTGCTTGTATAAATAAATAAATCTTAAAAAAAAAAAAAATCTATGCCTCCCCTAACTTTTCTGATATGAAAATATTTGGACAGACAGCTTGACATTTGGCTGTTTCACGTTTAATGTAGGTTATGACCTACTTTCTAAGCTTAGTCTCTCTCACCCTTTTCTAGGTCTCAAATCTACATATTTTCCTAGCTTCCTCATTCCAGTCAAGACTTATATGGCTTCCAAAGGGAACTATACTGTCCGGGTTACTAATATAGTCCTTGTTTACAGTTACATTTCCAGGTTGACAACCCCCACTCCCTTAGTCTTTTGACACTACATAAATTTTTGAAGCTGCTTTTCTATGTCTGTTGCTGGGGACCAGGGGCAATTTGTGGCAAAGACAGTGGAATAATTGGTGACCAAACAGGTTTCTCTCTCATGTATAAAGTGACACAAGGCATTGGTTTCATTATCCCTCTAGCTAGTAGAAATCTGAACATTTACAGGATAATAGCAGTTGCTGACATAGATTTCCTTGGCATTCTGCCTGAGTCTTTAGGGAAAGTAGGTTTTTGCAAAATCAGAGTTTATTACCAGAAGGAAATAAGACACAAGGAAGTGCTTTCTCTCCCACTAGCTTTGTGACCTGGAACAAGTTACTTAAACTCTCAGAGGTTAATGTTTCTGCTTCTTTGAAGCGTTGCTGATAATAACACTTTGAACTAAGTGTTCTGAGACTTCAATACGATAATATGTTCTTTTTTAGAAGTTATTGGAGTATATGCGCCATCAAAGTTAAGAGTAAACCAAGAAAGAAGAAGATAAATGATGAAGGGAGAAAAACTTCAATATAGGAAAGAGTCAAGGGGGATTCTTGGAAATGGTCAAGACACAGATACAGCAACTGAGCAACAGGTCCAGAGAATATATGTGGGATGGTGGAAATGAGGATGATTCTGGGGAGAAATGGAACAGTATCTAAATGAACTAGGTCTGAATCCCAGTTCTCGATGCAATGGACCACGTCATTGTGAAGATGGTGAGCTTTTAAAAGATACCGCCAAAGTCAGCAAATGGAAAAAAGAGTGAATTGCTAACTTCAGGAAAGACAATAAGGTGTACAAGAAAGGTAATCATATCACACATTTGGTTCAATGGGAAACTGTTTCCTTGGACGTAATGTAAACTTAATGCAAGTGCATGCATCCCCCAAAATGTGATACCATATTGAGAGATTATAGGGAAGGGAAATGCATAAGACAATTAGGCAAAAGCGCTAAGTCCTAATCAGACATACATAGAAATCAATATATGGTGTCTAACACTTAGAAATCAATAAAGATCAATCTAAGCATATTTTGTAGAAATATAAAATATATCAGAAGGAGCAGCTAATGGTCGAAAATGGTGGCATCTAACAAGCAAGACTGAAGGGCAGAGGAGGGGAGGAGGAATTTGTGTTTTTCATTATAAGCCTTTAAATATTATTTGACTCTTTGTTAACAACTATTCACATGTATTTATTTGACAAAGATACAGTTTATATTTTAAAATATACAATGCAAATTTAAAAGGCTATAAAGAGTTCACAGGAAAAAATGGCAGACTATCCTTAAACATGCTGCTCTTAAACAGATTGAACAGATGTTCAACCTTATTTAAAATAAGAAAAATGCAAATTAGCTGCAAATGTACTCTTTCTTAGCTTACAGATAGGGGAAAATTCAAAGTTTGGTCGCCATTCTCTTTTGGCAAGGCTCTTCAATTTTGCCAAATAATTGAACACCTATCAAGGACAATCTGACAATATCCACTAAAACTGCAAATGCATTTGTCTTGACTCTTCAAACCCTCTTCTAGAAATGCACACCCAGACACTCACGCATATATATGGAATAACAAATGTATAAGGTTTCATTTCACCATTGCTTTTAAGAGCAAAAGATTACAAACAATTCAACTCTCTGTCCGTAGGGGACTAGTTAAATTAATTGTGGTTCTCTCAGTAAGGGAAAATGTTTGTATTTTGAATGAATAAAGGAAATAAAACTTAAATAATTTAACAATCAGCTTCCAGTACCTCCAAAGCACAGAAGGCCGTGTCGGAAGCCTCTCACAACAGATTCTCTGACCTTCCTAAATCTGAGCATAAGGGGAACTTGGCTCCCAGCCCCTTTCAAAACCTTAGAAACAAAGCAAAACAGGCAGTGAGGCAATGTCAGATTTCATGTCAGTCCAAATCCCACTTGGCCAACTTATTAATGGAGACACTCAGGGTGTTGGTTCCTTGTCTGTACATGAGAGTTGCTAAAAAGGCAAAAGGGGATTGCATATGTGGCCCAGAGGCACAGCGCCTGACCCACACTAAGTGCTCAAAAACACAAGTTATTATTACTGGTGGCAGCGGAAAAAAGAATCCTGTCTCCAAGAGTGTGTTCATTATAGCAGGAAAGTCTTCTTGGAAATACCAAGATAAGAATCAAAAGTCACTACTCTGAAGAAAAGAATGGCAGGTATTTCCCTTCACGACCTGACAATTTTAGAAGAAACTACATCCACAAGCTCTTTCAGCTTCTTTTGCTGCTGCCTCCTGCAAAGACTAGAGGAGGCTTCTCCCCGAAGTATCCTACATGAATGGGGTTGGAAGGCTCTGAGCCCAATGCCTTCTGTGTAGGAAGAGAAATCTGAGGACCAGGAAGGTACTGGAGAGCACACAGCCAAGAGCCCCATTCCATAGCCAAGCCGAGCACTAACAAAATTGCTAATTAAGTGCAGCTTTTGTGATAGCAGTTTTCCAGTGATTCAAAACAGAAGGAGTAAACCTAAAAGTAAGTCTTCGGAACACTGAGCTAAGTTGTCTTCATTCACTTTTAAAAAGGTCTGGGATCAATGTGAATGTATATGGCCTGTATTGGTGGAGCAAGTAGTATCTTCATCTCCGTAAATTTGTCTTTATGGCTGTGCCCAGGCTTTATCTTTATAGTCTCCTGTGGAATAAGTCCCAAACTGTGTGGGCAGTCTGTACTACAGTAACACAGATTTCAAAAATGTGTACAATCCCTCTCCAGCAACGCCTAGATATATAATGCTGGGTTTCCATTTCCTCTTCTGTAAAAAAGAGTTACCAGTCATCTTCATCATGCTGTTACAAAAATAAAGTCAGATAACTGTGTCTGTCTGGTGCATAGTAGACACTACTTCCCACAAACCCAGATATCCCCTTGCCTTGTCTACATGTGAGACTTAATCAGTCCCACAACAACCTGCTCACCCTGCTCTTTGAATTCCAAACATTTTCTGCTAGGCAACTCCAAAAGATAAAAAATAAAATACCTTCCATGATATTTACATAGATTAATAACTTTTAATTTCCTCAGCCTGAACCAAGAGTTAAGAAGAACCTCATCAAGAAAAATTATAAGGGTCGCTTTTTTTCCCAAGTTCCCCCAAATACCTTCTTCATCCACATTTCCCTTGGGGACTAGTTCTCACATGTCTGCACCGATGCGAAAACCTCTGGTTTACAGCCATAGTCATTGGATTCCAGATTTTCCCACATCCTAGCCCAGGCATTGACTAAAGGTAAACACTCACTAAATGGTTCTGAGCTGAGTCAAGCAAAATCAAGGGAAGAATTTCAAAAAAGATATATATTGAGCATCTATTAGACATGAGGCACTGTTTGAGACCCATTTGCATCTCTTATTTAATTATCACAACAATCCTGAGAGGTAACACCCATTGTCCCAATGTTACAGGATGACAACACAGTAACTCAGAGCATTAAAGTACATTCTCAAGTCCCATAATTAGAAGGGGCAGGCAGCATGGCCTGGAACCCAACAAGTCTCCAAATTGACTGTAAGTAGCACCTCTCAGATGGCCATTTCTCCCTCCTCCCAGGAGTCTGAGATCTCATGATAATCCCCACCCAGTCCCATAGGAATCTTGGAAAGCCCGCTTGTCTCTCACTTCTCATGCACCTTGGCAAGTGCTTTTCCTTCATGCCCACCCACTGCACACATGCAGAAGCCCCTAATTTTCAACAAGTCATTTTATAACTGCAAAAGTGGGGCCACACTCTTTTCTCTACCTCTGCTCACTAACAAAGAGCATCATTTTCCAACATACTAGTCCGACCCAGGGAGAAAAGTCCTCACAACTTCAGTAATTTTCCATCCTCTGGAACAAGGACATATACTTGGAAGTTTGACCATAATATACAAACATTGTTTTTAAATAATGCCAATCTTCTTTTAAAATGACTTAAATGCTAAAAGCTAAGGTTTTGTCACTTCTTTTCTTGTGTCTTGAATAGACCCACAAACTTAAATAAATACATAAACCATAAATGCAACTGCCAACTGTTTAGATTGAGTTCTCACATCAATACAGATTTTCCTTACAACTTGCACCCAATTTGACTCCAGTCTTAGGAGTGCTGACCTGAAATAGTTGCTGGCTGCGGCAAGCACCACGCGGTGGCAGGAGAATTCCTGAATGTCCACACACAAGATGACATCTGTCAGAGCATTTTCCACTCGCAGGGTTTCCAGGCCATTCTGCAGAATTAAGGAGAGTCCCGTGTCATCAAATTTTACCTTGTCTTCATTTAAGATTTCTACTAGATCTCCTCTTTTGGGAGCAGGATCGTCTGTAGAAGGTGGCAAGGGTCCTTCCAAATTCTTCTCTACCACATCACCCATGGTCCAGCCGCCCCTTTGCGCTGCCATCAACCTCCAGACTAAAGGAGAGACCAAGTTTCAGGCAGGTCACATTGCAGAAGCTGAGCGGATTTCCTGTGCGGGGCCCTCCACTTATCACCAGCTGTCACACACTCATAACAGGAAGTCTCGCACTTTCTCATCCTGTTACTACAAACACCAGTAACTTCTATTCTTCTTCTTTCTGTGAATCATCACAAGGTTAGGACTTACTTGAAAGGGGTGTTGGAAGGGGCTCCGGGAGAGAAGGGGTGGCTTCTCGGAGTATGCTGTTAATGCTGTGTGGTTATTTTGGTCCTCTCCCCTCCCTCACATCCGTGAGCAGGAAACCTCTGGTTCTGGTTATTATATTTATACCCCTGATGCCCTCATAACCCAAGCGGTCAATGATGGGATGGGTGGGGCCATTTCTCCCTCCTCCCTGGAGTCTGAGGTCTCATGATAATCCCCACCCAGTCCCACAGGAATCTTGGAAAGCCCACTTTTCTCTGGCATTCTCACTTCTATCAGCACTGCACACTTTCTGTCTTTGCCTTCATCCCTGCTCAGGGGGAAGCAATGTGATGGCAAATATTAATGATCCCCTCCAAAATGTTTCTATTGTTTTAGATACGCCCCTAGGGGCAGAGAAGAAATGATTGCCATCTCCAGGAGTCTTCTCTGTTAGAAAACCAATCAAAGTAGGTCCACATCAGACTGCCCTGGCAAGTCTCAAATTAGCCTTATCTCACCCATCATCTATTGGTCCTGCATCAGTGGTAAATCATGAAGTATTTTCATTATCTCCAAGGCTAAATACTAATAACCATGTTTTACAATTTTTAGCATATTGTAGAAATATTTACATTACATCCCAGAAAATTCACAAGAGCTAATGTGTATTAACCCGTGTAACAATTGAAAGGGTAGGTATGACTTTCCTCATTTTACAGCTTTGCTCAAGTGAATGGCAGGGCCAGTTCTGTTTGACTCCAAAGACCCTACTTCCTCCACCACCATCAGACCAGCAGAGCTATCATATCATGGGGGCCCTGACCCTGTCCCTCCCATGGAGAGACAAAGAGGCTTGGCTGCACCAGTCCTCAGTTCCTCACCAAAGTGGCCTCTGTTGTCTCCTTGTTCTCATTCACCATCTAGCAGTGGGGAACACTCTCGCTCATCCTGGTTGCAAGAATCCAATCCTTTTTCTGCCCTGGTGGGTGATGACTGAGCTCTCCCTAAAATGCCCAGTTCTGTCTCAGCTCTGCTCTTCCATGTATACTTACTCCTAAAATCAGAGTCTTTGACATTCTCCCCAGATTTGTTCTTTATTCAGAGTCTGTCAATGAAGATGCTTTGAGCTTCAGTCATAGAATATCCCATCAAAGGCAATTCACACAATAGCAGTCTCACATTATAAAAAGTAGGAGGTGTGGAGTCCCAGGTTAATCAAGAATCTCCATGATGCCATCAAGACACATGATTTTTCCATTTTTCTGCTGTCACCTTCAGTGTGCCACAGTACCAGACAGCATGTCTTCACATAACCCTTGTCCATGATCAGGAAGAAAAAGAGCAGACATCTTCTCCTTATCACTCTCTTCCTACTAGGAAGAAAATATTTCTTAATTTCCTCATCATCTCTGTCATAGGCCATTTGGCCACCTCAGATCAAATGCCAGGACTATAAATAGAGTGTCACTATTACAAGACAAAGGTCTAAAAACTGTCACTGAGTCAGAACCTCTCTCACTGGTTCTGGGTCTTGGCCACCCACCACCTCAAATGCAAACAAAAGGGCCTTTGGTGTAGCAAAATAAAAATTATTGTGACAGGTTAAAGGCAAAGCAAGATGGAAATTTCAGTCACCAATGGTAAGAAGTAGAGTTGTGATTACAGTAGCTAGCAAGGTAGAGCAGGATTTGCTGTGACTGACGTGGGTGTAGGGAAGGTGGCAAAGGCCTGCTGCCCAGCCAGCCAGCAAGATGACTGCCTTCCAGCAAGATGACAGTAATTCTAGCAAAAAAAAGAGTGAGCCCATGTGCTTGCTCCCTATTAAAGTCTCCCAGAATGGCAGCTCAGCTCCATCCCCTTACCAGCAGCGCTCTCCCTCAGGATGTCAGAGATGTGGTTCAGACCACAGCATTGCGCAGGTAGGGTCCCCTCCAGCTTGGGTGGTGCCATGCATCAGAGAACAAATTTGGTCCCTTTTCTGCACTGCACCACTCCAACACAATGAGTGGCAGTTTAACCAAGCATGACGCATCCACTGGGCCTAGTCCACCATCCCTAAAATCAAGGTATAACCATCTGATAGCTGAACAAAATCAGGGCCTGTTATCACAGAAGAAGGGGAAGGTCTGGTGTGCATTTAAGCTCCTGTGCCTGCCACAGACCAGACACTGCCCTCTAACCACCACCTCCATGGCTCTAACTACCACCCCTAGTAAGGCTGAAGACAAAGCACGACACAGTCACTCTCATGGCATCTTGTTCCCCAGAGACTCTCAAATTATAAATTACATTCGTGGCCTCCCTGGTGGCACAAGAGATTAAGCACAGTGCTGCAAAGCTGTCCACAGCCACTGCAGCATGAGTTTGATCCCTAGCCGGCCAGGGAGCTACCCACATGGTGCAGCAGACCTCTCCTAACTCACCTGCTGCTCCCCTCAGCAGCGTATTTCAGTCAATCTATCTGTTCTGCTCCCCACTCTGTCTCTGGTGAATCCTCTCACCCTCTGCACCTCTGGCCTGTACCCCAGTTCTTGTATGCATAATGAATAAATCTTTTAAAATAATAATATAATAAAAATAAAATAATAAATGACATTCACCTTATTCAATTTCACCCCAACCATCCCAATAGAATGAAATTAAAAGTAAAACTCAATTCTTTGTTCATGACAGATCCTGTTCACCAAGTTCACATATTATTTTTCCTCTATCTCCCAAGCCTGCTCACTCTTCCCCTGACATAAGCAGATAATTGTTCCTCCCTCCCCAAGCCTGTTATCTTCCTAGTAGGCATGCACACCCAGTATTGTACTGTAGACATGATAACATATATAATTAGATTTTAGTACAGAGGTAAAAAACACAATCAGTTTGGTATCTTTGTCAACCTGGATATTCTCTGAGGTTCAATGTGAATTGCTAAATATTCTTTAGAGCTAAAAGCAAAATAATTCTGTTTTGAGGAAGCTTTATTTTCCCACAAGGCGAGAAGATGTACCAGTGATCGTCATAAGCTATATACTGAGAAAACAATCTAATTGTATCTTACTAAGCTAATTGGCACTCAGATGCTTGTAAGGAATAGATTTTGTCTCCATAAAAGTGGGTAGCTTTCCTAAAGCCACAAAAAAACACTTTTGACTCCAGTCAACTGTCTTCTCTCATATAAATTTTAGTGATAGAACAAATTTTAAGTCAGCTATAGAAGAGCCACTTTTCCCTCATGTTAACTTATTGCTACTAACACTATCATTTATTGAGCATCAACTATGTTCCAAGAACTATGAGAGGTACTTTATAAATTCTAATGCACTGAATCTTCCCACAAACCCAATGCAATTAATTGCCATGATCTCCATTTTAGAGACATGGAAATAGACAAAATCACACAATCATAGCCAACAGTATCACTGCTATACCCACAACCCTTCAGCCCATAATCCTTCACCCACAGACAGTCCACCCACGCCCACAGTCTGTCTACCTCAGAGTGCTCTACAACTACAAAAGCATGCCAGTTACCAAAATTAGAGTCCCTGATCCCAGAGTGACCTTCAACTGAGAGTCAGGAATTTGTTGATAAATCCACTAACAAAGTAAGATTTGCATCAAGGTCTAAATCCCAAGGGGAGGAGGGGACTGGACTTTATACTTTCTCCTCCGAGTACTAAATGCCTACTTACCCTTCATGATCAAGGACCCTCCTGCCTCCACAGAGCTTCCCAAAACACCTACATTTATTTCAGGCCTTGTCTCTTCCAAGCTTATGCTCACACTCCTGTGGCTGCACTAAAGCACTGTGTTATCATTACCTGGCTGCTTGTCTGCCTCCCCCGTAGCTGTGGGCTCATGGAAGGTAGGGGGTGTCTGAGTCATCTTATATGCCGGAGCCTGGCAAAACCCAACTGTGTATGTTTCAGTCAAGAAGTATGGGAGGGCAGATGGATTTATGGTTGAATGAAAAAATAACAAAAAACTGTGTGAAGGCAAAGAAACATTGCTGGTGGCAGAAGAAGACTTCTGGCTTGGTAGTCCGTGACTTGCTTAGGAAGAGTCCCTGAGTGGCGAGAGTAGCGTGTAAGCTGGCCTCGGAGGGTAAGAATTTATAAGGTGAGAAAAGCGAGAAGATAAAGCTTCTCCAAGAACATGGAACAGCATGTGATCTCAGAGATGTATAAGAACAAGGAGTATTTGGAAAACTGCAAACCACTAGGTACATTTGGAGCATAAGGTATGACCAGAGAGGAGGGTGTGAAAAAAGAGAGACAAAAGTGAGAGGCGGGCTTCCCCGGTGGCGCAGCGGTTGAGCGCGGGGTTGCGAAGCTGCCCGCAGCCTCTGCAGTGCCAGTTCGATCCTCGGCTGCTCCCCGGCCACCAGAGGAGGGTCCCACATGGCGCGCAGACCTCTCCTGCCGCCCGCTGCTCCCCTCAGCAGTGTGCTTCGGTCCTTCTGCCTGTTCTGCATCCTGCTCTGACTCTGGTGAATTCTCTCACCCTCCCGCGCTTCTGACTGTACCCAGTGCTTGTATGAATAAATAAATAAATAAATAAATCTTTAAAAAAAAAAAAAATTTAAAAAAAAAAAAAAAAAAAGTGAGAGGCCATGGAAGTGAAGGCGTTTGGGCCCAGGCTCTATGGCAATGATGTTGAAACTTGAGCACACAGCAACATTCCTTGGGCCCCAGCCTGACTTTTGGATTATGTACGTCTAGGGTTGGGCCTGAAAATTGGCAATTCTAATCAGTTTGCAGATGAGGCTGAGGCTGCTGGTGCCAGGAGCATTCTTTGAGAACCACTATTAGATGTGTACCCATTGGAAGCACTGGAGAATTTAATAAAAGGG